AACGTGTGTAAAAAAAAAAAAAAAAAAGAAAAGAAAAAAACTTTCTATATGATGGAGCAGGTATGAGTCATTCTGGACAAACTTAAAAATGTATTTTGGTCTAATCTATTTATCAGGAGGGATGAGGGCTGAATGATCTAATAATTTAGATATTTGAACTCAGTTAAAGCTTGGTATTGGGTTGCCCTCATTTTCAGTCTGTCAACAAGTAAGAGAATGAGAGGATTTCAATAAATTTAGGTCGATATCATTAGCTGTTGCTGTCAGGTTTGAAAACGAAGCAAAGCTGACAATTTTTACATTCACGTGATGCTAGTTATTTGCCCAGTGATAAGTACAACCCCGTGAGAGCCCCGTGCTGAGCTTTTGAAGAACAAATTCAGTTAGATTTCTAGACTGCCCTCCTCAGGTTGTTGATTTGCTCTGAAGCCGGTGATCTCCTTCATGCCAGCCCATACCTCCTTTGCACTGTCCTGCTGAAGTCTTCCCTCCAGCTTCCTTCTGTAGGCTTCTTTGTTCTCCCTTATTCTCACCTTCAACTCCTTCTTCACCTACTCATCTTTACCTTTTCCTTCTGCCTGAAAGCCTGCTTCATTCAAAAAGCCTACTTTTTGTTCATTAGTTCCTTCAGGTTCTTGGTGATCCAGGGTTTGTTATTAGAAAAACAATGCACCCTTCCTTTAGTGTCCATGCGGAAAGTGATGTACTCCATTATGCAGTCCATCATGTTGTTAATGTCTACACATAGCACTTCCCAGTCTGTGGACCTGCAGAGCCTCCTCTGCCTCTTGTGACCATTTCTTTATGGTCTTTATTGTCACAGACTGCCTTACGACAACAGGCCGGTATCTCGGTGTCAGTAGAATCAGGTTGTGGTCAGATCTTTCTAGTGAGGGCAGAGCAGATGAAATGTATACACCCTTTCATTCTGTTCTCTCTAGTAACACAGTTGACAAACTGGTGCAACTGTGGTAATGTAATGGAGAGTGACATGATTAAAATCCCCATAAATGGCAATAAAAGTGTTCAGATGCCAAGTTTGGAGTCTCACAATAGCCTACAGTATGATGTCACATGCCACTTCTGTGTCAGCTGCTCGTGGGATATAAACAAGAACTACAATGGTGACCACGAATTCCCTCGGCTGATAATATGGACGTAAACCAACAGTCAACATTTCCACGTTTGGGCAACAGTGACGACACCCTTCACAGTAGCATGTCCCGGATAGCGATCCCTCCACCTTTCTTCTTACTTCTCAGTCCAGCGTCTCTGTCTGCCATCACTGTCTGAAAACCAGAGCTGGAAGCATTTGAGTTTGGAATATCCTCGTGCAGCCATGTCTCAGTGAAACAAAGCACACTGCACTCCTGATACTCCCACTGGGTCTGGATCAGTGTGCTAAGCTCATCCATCTTATTGTCAAGAGATCTAATGTTTCCCATGATGATGGAGGGAATGAAGGGCTTGTAGTTTCTCCTCTTTGCCTTCATTTTGGACCCAGCTCTGCATCCTCTGTATGGTCTCAGCACTTCTTCAGAAATATTGAGCCTCATTCCGGAGTGCAGCACAGAACGTCAGAGAGCCAGCAGCTGCTCAGGTGTGTACACGAAGCGACCTGCTCTCTCTTCGTGGTTCTCCATTCCGAGAGTAGAGTGCATAATTAATAAAAAAAAAACAACTTAGTTGTGCCCAAACAGACTACTATAGGTAAGAAATAACATCTCTCGAGATGGGAGCCTCTGTAATCGGCTGCCAATAGCATGGCACCATATTGGAAAATGATTTCATTAGCAGTTTTATGATTTTTTTATAATTATAGTATACCCTAGGTGAATTTAAATAAGACTTCTTGGAGTCGCTTACATTGTGGTCCTTCACTCATTTACAGATTGTTCTTAAGACGTCACACTGTTACTGAAATATGCCCTGACTTACTGTTTGGCAACTTCACCATCAAATTTGTTTCTTCAAAAATACAAGAAAAATACTTTGTTTGTGTGCCTATGGAATATTTAAAAAAAAAAAATAATCAAATCGTGGAAAAACCAATATGGCAGAAAATAACATCATGGATTCTGTTGAAGTTGGCATGTGAAGTTGGCAATGAACCAGCGAAAGTAGAATTTCAATTTTTCAACATTGCGTTGCAGAGTTATTACTGTAAAAGTTTAATAGTATGTCCAATTTTTACCAATTTTTGAGTGGCATAAATCAAAATTGCTGTGTAAGTAGCTGAGACTGTCCTCTATCACTGTGCCAAATTTCATACAAAGTGTACTAAACAGAGCACTCGAAAACTAGAATGTAAATGGTGTCAAACTAAATCGATAGTATTTCAAATAGCATGGAAGGAGAGCCTTTTGAGCTATAGGAAAGCTCTTAGTGCTGCTAGATCAATGTATCTCTCCACCCTAATAGAAGATAACAGAAACAGTTATATAGCAGTGATGACTTCATTAATTTTTTCAGTGGTAAAATTTAAAATATCAGGCTAAAAATTCAGCCTATTAATTTAAAACCAGACAGTTTTATAACAAACCCTGTAGATGATGATATAATTATATCAGATCAACAATTAAATTTACTCCCCTTGAAGAGACTGAACTAATTTCACTAATTTCATCATCAAAATCATCAACCTATATACTAGATCCTTTACCTACTTGTTTCTTCAAACAGATAATTCCTGAAACAATCCAACCTCTTTTAAAGACAATCAATTCTTCCCTTAGCATTGGCTATGTACCTAAATCTTTTAAACTAGCAGTTATCAAGCCCTTGATTAAAAAACCTGACCTTGACCCCTGTCAGCTGTCTAACTATAGACTAATATCAAACTTCCCCTTTATCTCCAAGGTCCTAGAAAATTCCTTTTACTAAATTCTGACAAGACAGAAGTACTTGTACTAAGACCACATGCAGCTAGAAGTAAGCTTTCTGATTACATAGTAACTCTGGATGGCCTTTCTGTTTCATTCTCTGCAGCAGTAAAGGACCTTGGTGTGATTATTGACTCCAGTCTTTCATTTGAAGCTCATGTAGATAATATTAGGATAGCATTCTTTCATCTCAGAAATTTTGTTAAGATAAGAAATATAACGTTACGAGGTGATGCAGAAATTTTTTTTTTGTTACCTCTAGGTTGGATTATTGTAATGCCTTACTGTCTGGATGTTACAGTAGGTGCATAAACAAGTTCCAATTAGTCCAGAATGGAGCAAAAGTCCTTACTAGAACCAAAGATATAACCATATCACCCCTATCTTATCCACACTGCATTGGCTCCCAATCAAATTTTGCGTTGATTATAATATACTACTATTGATCTATAAGGCACTGAATGGTCTTGCACCGCAGTACCTGAGCAAACTTTTGGTCTTTTATGATCCGTCACGCCTACTTTGATCAAAAGGTACAGGCTATTTGTTGGTACCTTGAATAGTGAAGGCTACAGCAGGGGGTTGAGCTTTCTCTTACAAAGCCCCACAGTTATGGAACAGCCTTCCAATTAGTGTTCAGGACACGGACACAGTCTCAGTGTTTTCAGGTCTAGGTGAATACGTATTTGTTTAGTCAAGGTCTGGAGGGTTCACAGGCATAGTGTGTTGTGGTGAACTGGGAATTTGGATGATATTGCTCCCCCATCCCCCCACTCTTACTGGCCACTTTATGCCCCAGGGCACCTTCTGGGACTGTGATTGCTGGGGTGGCTTTGGGACTGCGGTTGCCATGAGCAGTTTTGCACTCAGGTCTCCATTAGTGGACAGTGGATAGGTTCAACAAAATAGACTTCATGTGAAGACTGTAATCAATTTCCTGGTTACACATTTGCACTAGTTGTCCACAGTACGCAGTTATAGAAGGGATTTATTTATAATTGCACTATTTGTTGTCACCCAGATGAGGATGGGTTCCCTTTTGAGTCTGGTTCATCTTAAGGTTTCTTCCTCATATCGTCTCAGGGAGTTTTTCCTTGCCATCGTCGCCTTTGGCATGCTCACTAGGGATAAATTCATATATTTACATTTATGGCATTTGGCAGATGCCCTTATCCAGAGCGACTTCTCATTTATACAACTAAGCGGTTGAGGGTGAAGGGCCTTGCTCAAGGGCCCAGCAGTGGCAGCTTGTCAGTGCTGAGAATTGAACTCATGACCTTCCGATCAGTAGTCCAACATCTTAACCAGTGAGCTACCCTATATATTTACAATTTATATCCTGAATGTATTGATTTCTGTAAAGCTGCTTTGTGACAATGTCCATTGTTGAATGTAGTTGAATTGAATTGAATAATAAAAGGTCAATTTACTGATTAGTACCTAGATACAGTGTGCCAAATTTTTTTTTGCTTGATTGGACTTATGATTCCTGTGAAACAGTCTGAACTTAATTCCACCCTTACTGATTCCCATGCCCCAATCTCTGCAAATCTCCTCAGAAGCTAGTCCTAAACTCTAGTCCTACCTTTCAGGTTTTGTATAAATCCATGTTTATAATCAAGAGTTACAGTCATTTGAGTAAAGTAGGCTCTGCCCCATTAGGATTGAATGGCAGCTGTCAGCAATCTTGCTCATAAATCTCAATTGTCAATCTTTCTGACAACCCTTGAGGGTCAGTCACTGCTGAGTCATTTGAGAAAATTTTCTGAAGATAGTTAGCAAAAGTAGGTTTTGCATATTATGCAAATTTGCTCAAAGTATCTGTGAGTGGAACTAAATGGTCCAAACTGCAATTTGGTTCAGAATTAGCTTCCGATTAGCAGAATCATAGAGGAAACGATATCAGATAACAACAGTGATTGTTACTGATAAAAATAATACTTTTACTACTGCTACTACTACTACTACTACTACTACTACTAAGAATACTACGAAAAAGAAAACATACAATTAGAATAGGATGTCTGCATACTTTTGGTCTTGGCCCCCTACAAATAATAAGAAAACATAATAAGTAGGCTGTAATTTTTAATGGCAAAGACGCCCCTGCAACATGTCTGTCAGTCACCATTCAGTGATGCCTTACTGGGATTCTATTGGCTTTCAAACATTCACGTTCACGTAGACAGCCCAGACTGCATAGGAAAGGCTGATTCATGTCACTTTCAGCCTTTTGTAAGCACTAGTAATCTGCCTGTCAGGAAAAAGTGGCCCATGTTAAAAACATGGCCGACACAACAACTGAACAGATCTGGGCCAATTTTGCAATTATTATTATTTCTTTATAATACTTCTTCTATTACTACTACTACTACTACTACTACTAGTAATAATAATAATCTAAGGAAAATGGTTCTGTTTATATAGGAAGCACTAGAAATGTAAGGTGCATATAAGCAATATAGTTGCTTCTCTTCTAAATATGAAAATAGGTGCTTCACTCATAAAAAATAACCAGTCTCAGTAGTTAAAAAATCTAATACAATATCCCCTTTTAAATATCAACCTTTAAGAAAGTCAGAATTATTAAAATCTCAATTTTAGTTGAGAATAATCAGTGAATTGGTTTCTGAAGGCTTAGTTCTTGAATAGTTTGGCTTCTTGCAATATCAAAGTAATAACCACAACAAGGCAATGAGATGTTCAATAATATACAATTTATTGAAATACACAGAAGAAATAATAAACATTAATTAACTAATTAACTAAGAACCTAATTCTAAATAGGGACAAAGAAGTGTGTGTGTGTCAGAGATAGAGAGAAAGGGCAAGAGAGAGGGGGAAAGAGAGAGTGCATGTGCATCTGTGTGTATCTGGACACACTCTCTGTGCTACAGCTTGTGTGTCCGTGTGCGTGCTTGTGCTGAGCTTAACAAAATGCGTAACCACAAACGTCCTGGTATGTGAAACAAGGAAAACAATAGGAATTAAATTAAAATACAAATGAAAAGACTTTAAAATACTTGCACGTGGTGGATGGCCAGTGATAGAAACTATATAAAAAAAGTATTTCTAATGCCAAAATTGGTTCCAAAGCACACTTACGTTAATGGGAATAACATGACAGAGTTTGGATTTTATTTGTCCTCGACATAAGCAAGGACCATGTGCAGCACACACCACAGGTAGCTAGTTATAGCCAAGTTGCAAAGAACACTAAAGCAAACATACATAGATGAACAAACAATTAAAATCTGGTGATTGTAGCTAAAACTGTGAAGTGTGTGCTGCAATGTGATTGGCTGATGGCCTCCATGTTTTTTAATCTAATCTCATTGGATTATTGAAATCTGTAACGAACTGTGTTTTCTTATATAAACGTTGTATTGAACTCATGACACTGTATTGCATCATAATTCAAACACTCATGCATGTAACCTTTACTTCCGATTTACAATCAACCCCCCATGGCTAGATATATATATATATATATATATATATATATATATATATATATATATATATATATATATATAATTATTATTATATGTATAAAAAAATGTACAGTCAGGTCCAGAAGTATTTGGCCAATGACAGTTTTTGTGTTTTTGCCTTTATACACCACCACAATGAATCTGAAATAAAACAAATCAAGATGTGATCGAAGTATAGACTTTCAGGTTTTTTTTTTTTTTTTAAGAGGTTCCACAAAAATATGGCATTTACCATTTAGGAATTACAGCCATTTTAAGCAAAGTACTTCCATTTTCATGAGTTCAAAGGATTGGGACAATTGACTGACAAGAAGCTAATTGATCAGGTGCGGTCCATTCCCTCGTTACTTCAAGACAAATGAAGCAGATAAAAGGTCTGTAGTTGATATCAGGTATTGAGTTGGCATTTGGCAGCTGTTCGACTGGAGCTACCAATATGAAGTCCAAGGAGATCTCACTGAAAGTGAAGGAGGCCATCATTAGGCTGAAAAAACAACATAAATCTATAAGACAGATAGCAAAAACCTTAGGTATGGCCAAATCAACAGTTAGGTACATTCTTAAAAAGAAAGAAAACACTGGTGAGCAACATCGAAAGGCCTGGAAGACCACTAAAGTGGATGATCGCAGAATCCTTTCCTTGTTGAAGAAAAACCCCTTCACACCATCAACAGAAGTCACGAATACTCTGGAGAAAGTAGGCGTATCACTGTCAAAATCTACAATCAAGAGATGCCTTCATGAATGTAAATACAGAGGGTTTACAACAAGGTGCAAACCACTGGTAACATTCAAGAACAGGAAAGCCAGATTAGACTTTGCCAGAAAACATCTAAAAAAAAAAAAAGCCTCCCATGTTCTGGAATAAGGTTCTTTGGACTGATGAAACCAAGATTACCTTGTACCAGAATGATGGGAAGAGAAAAGTATGGCAAAAGAAAGGAACAGCTCATGATCCAAAGTATACCACATCATGTGCTAAACATGGTGGAAGCAGTGTTATGGCATGGACATGTATGGCTGCCAATGGAACGGGCTCACTGGTGTTTATTGATGATGTGACTGCTGACAGAAGTAGCAAGATGAATTCTGAGGTGTATAGGGCTATACTCTCTGCTCACATTCAGCCAAATTATACAAAACTGATAGGACGCTACTTCACAGTGCAGGTCAAAAATGACCGTATACTTACTATACTTTCCACATACTGTGAAAGCAACTCAAGACTTTTTGAAGGCAAAGAAATGGAATATTCTTCAATGGCCAAGTCAGTCACCTGATCTCAAACCCAATAGAGCATGCTTTTCACTTACTGAAGACAAGACTCAGAAAGACCCACAAACAAGCAGCAACTGAGGGTGGCTGCAGTGAAGGCCTGGCAAAGCATCTCCAGGGACGAAACTCAGAATTTGAGTTTTGAGAACATGGACTCCAGACTTCAGGCAGTCGATTTTCCAAGTATTAAAAATATGGTTATATTTACAATTATGTCACTTTGTCCAAATAAATTTGAGCCGCTGAAAATGGAGGTACTTTGCTGAATATGGCTGTAATTCATAAATGGTAAATGCCATATTTTTGTGGAACCTCTTAAAATAAAGCTGAAAGTCTACACTTCGATCACATCTTGATTGTTTTATTTAAAATCCATTGTGGTGGTGTATAAAGGCAAAATCACAAAAACTCTGTCATTGCCCAAATACTTCCAGACCTGACTGTATGTAACCTCATTGCACACACCACAAGAGGGATGAGGATAGAGTAAGCTGAGAGTTTGCTAGCTGGTGGCTAATCATGTATGATTTAGAGAAATCTATTAGGAGTCATTGACCCTCCAACTCCTTTGGGCATTCAAATGGATTGAGATGGAGGCACGTTCACACATTACATTTTCACCTCCTTTCTATTTCTGGGCTCAATCTTGTTGGTTGTCCCTGAGTAAGGTTTTCTTAGACCTCGTCAGCACCAAACAACATTATGATTTCAATTTACTCTTTCAGAGGTCCCATTTTGTTTATTTATAAAGTCACAGTACATCAGTACCAACAGAAAGCACTGTTACCCTAACTGCCTTAAGTTTTATCACTAGAAATAATCATATGCTATTAAGTTCTTACCTGGTGATTTCCTCCTTGAGTGCAGAAGGATCTGGTGGGTAGAATTTTACTCTCAAACACATGGTATATGGGGGCTGGGCTACGGGGCGAAACAAAACAGTTAGGTTTGACTATAGTTGACTATAGTGTTACTGCTGACAGATATTGGTTCACCAAATAGTTTAAAAAGTGAAAAAAATGTTCAATGGCTTTTTCCTCTACTCATAAACTCATGATTCATGAAAATACAGACATAATGGCATTTGAGAAATTAGTCAAATGTTGCGTAGCCTTTTAAGCCTCTTGAAGACTTGACAAAATTTTCTTCTAAGATTGCCCTGTGGCTCTATAAATCTCACCCTCAACCATGACCAGTTTCCAAGTCCCCAATGCATTCCAACATGATGCAACTACCATACTATACTGTCGGGATGGTATACCTGCCTTTAAACAAGACTTCACAGAGCTTTTTTCAATAATGGCCTTCTTCTCGCCACTCTTCCATAAAGCCCAGAGTTTTGTGGTGTGTCCAGGCTATGGTTCTTCTGTGAACAGCTTCTCCTGTCTGAGCTGTGCATCTCTCCAGCTCAGAAGTTATCCTTGGCCTCTTGGTCACCTCTTGTCGTCTTTATCCGGTCTCTGAATTTAGGTTGATTGCCTCCTCTAGGCAGAGTTGCAGTTGCCATTTTTATTAATGGATTTATTGGTGTGCTGCAGGATGTTCAAAGTTTG